GTGGCCTTGTTGAAGTAGGTGTGGTCTTGCTGGAGGAAGTATGTCACTGGAGGTGGGCTTTGAGATTTCATTTGCTCAAGCCAGGCCCAGAGTCACTCTCTTCCTGCTGTCCACTAATCTAGATGTAGAACTCTCAGCTACCTCTCCAGCACCACGTCTGCCTGTGTCCTGCCATGCTTCCTGCCATGATGATGATGAATTAAACCTCTGGACTGTAAGCCAGACCCAATTAAATTGTTTTTCTTTAGAAGAGTTGTGTGATCATGGTGTCTCTTCACAGCAATAGAAACCCTGAGACACCCATATGTATGTAAAATCTCCCTCCTTTATAAAAGGAACTTGTGATGGGATTTAAGACCCACCTGGATAAGCCAGGATAATCTCCCCATTTGAAATACTCAGTTCCATCATATCTTCAGAAAACCTTTCTCCACAAACATATTGACACACATGTAAAAGATGTCACAACAAAACTTATTAATAAAAGAAAGAAATCTTTCTCAAAATAGAATAACATGTATAGGCTCCACATAGAAGAACCCAGTGCCTTGGTGGGGGGGGGGCATTATTCAGCCTAGTCTGGGCCGTATCTTCATTCACAGAACTGTCCACCAGCATGACCCCAGATATCACCTGCTCAAAGCCCTCACAGGGATTTGTCTGTCTAGAAACTGATTCCATATGCAGATCACTCAGGGAGTATGGTGAAAATACCTTGCTCATGCCCAACTTCCACTGATCCTACCATCTTAGGGAAAGTCTGGCCATCAGCAGGTATATATATAACCTCCCAGGCGAGACTCACATGTTCTGCCAGGCAGGACCATGGCACAGAATAACTTGAGGAACAGGAGGCAGCCCGAAGTCTCTCCTCAGCAGCTTGAAGCTTGGCCTCTGTCCTAATCCCACAACCACTGACACCTGGAAACAGAATCAAGCGTCCAGGCTGGCAGGCGGGGCAGGCAGAAGGCTTAGGTAGGGCTTATCCTCTTCCCATGCCTATCAGTCCAACCGCTTCTGGGTCCTTGTCTCAGAGGAGTGGCTTTGAATCAAACAGAAAACCATGCAAATCAGGAGCCTGGATCATCCTTTGACTAAAAGTCTCCAAGTTCCCTGAGGTGTCTTGAGCTAGCCAAGGGAGAGGGATGTTTGAGGGGATGGGTAAAGACAGACCACTTGGTGGGGCTTATCATATGTTCACTCATCTTCTGGAGCATGTGTCCCATGAGCTACCAGGGGTAGGGATTTTAGCATTGCAATCAGAGTGCCCTGGACATCCAACAGGGCTGCTGGAGAGGAAGCCGCTGTCTGCTGTTCTGCACATGCTCCTTATTCCTTTTTCATGCAGAAGGAAGTTGGGGGTCAGCACCTTACCTCCGCGTCCTGTTAAGCCTGCTTGTCTACCACAGAGTCTGGTGAAACGGAAATTACAAGATTACAATAAATAGATGTCAGGCGTGATGACCTTTCCCTCCTGCGTCCCTTCATAACTGAGCTGAGATCTTTTGAGTCTCCCAGCACAGATCTAATTACCGCACTTCCAGTGAGAGGAAGGGAAAAATGGAAACAAGACAAGCAGGACACCTGGGGCAGGAGAATTATTGAAGAGCACAACATTAATTTGTGAGACCCATTGTGTTCTTTCTAGGAAACGAGACAGGCTCAGATCCCCTATCAAGCATACTCCAGAACAGTCCCACCCATCTCTTCCACTTGCACACAAGCACATTTACGTGCATGGTCACACACGAGTGACCACACAAACACACCCCGCTATCCATGCAGACTCACACCTGGTGGTCTGTCTGGGACTGCACCTTTGCCGATGTGGAGGAGAATGGATCTGTGGAGGACAAAGTTGGCAGCTAAGGAAGACACAGCCAGGTGGTCCACGCCAGGCTCTGTCTCCAAAGGCACGCATTGCTTGACTCAATAGCAGAATGGTAAGCGCCTGGAACACAAGCCAACTGCCCAAATAGGCCTGAAGTCATGTCACAGTTCTCTGGGAACAGGACCAGTTGGGCACTGAAAAATTCAAAAGTAACTTCTGGGGCTTAGCAGCAACTAGCTACCATGTGAAGCCAGAGATCACTCTGGGGTCCACCTCCTGGATTACAGCTGTTTCTCTGTCTCACATCCTAGAGGGAGGGACATAGGAGGAGAGGCCAAGACTCTACAGAGCAGGGATGCTGGCTAAGAAGAACCACACACTTGACCTTCATCCACTTCCTTAGACCCTCACCACCCCGTATATCAGCAGCAGCGCCCAGGAGCAAAGCAGGTGTGTGTACAATCAGAGGCCTGAAGGAGCCCAGGCCTGGGAAAATGGAGTCTTTTCTTAAAGCAGCCGGGTGACCTGGGAACAACTGAGGTCACCTCCCTGGGACTCAGATCTTCACCTGCAATGTAAAAGGTGAACTCAGATCCTAAATCCCTTCCTAAGATAAAGTTTGGCCAACTACCTTTCTTCATTTTTATCTTTCTACAGAATGCACTTAGTTGGTTTCTCTGTTGCTTTTTAAAGTACCTCTGCCTCTGGTGCGATCATCAGCACGCTGCTGCTTAGCAGCCACCAAGCCTAATTATGGTTTCCATGCCTATATGGAGTGGTCCCTGCCAGATGTGCTCACACAGGCATCTGGAGTCTGGAGACTTGGGCCCTCTCTGGACTGATGGCTGGGCTCTTCAGCCAGGCAGCTCGGTTCCAGGCTCCCATCCCCATCCCCCCACTCTCCTCAACCAGCTAGATAGGTCAAGCATGTTGTCCCCAGGGAGACAGCGAGAGGATAAACACAAACACACAAGCTCCTTAAAGGTCCAAGCTGGAAACCACACTGCCACTTTTGACTGTTTTTGTTATCCAGAGCAAGGAGAGTGACCAGATTCAGAGGATGAGGAAATAAAACACACAAAGTCACCAGGTGAGTGGTCAGGACAGAGATGATGAGGACGTCACCCTGTCGCTGCCTGTGGGCCTGGTCTGCACCAGGTGGGTAGAGTAGCCAACGTTCTACCCTTCTAGGTCCACTTTCCTAGGCCTGAAGATGGTTTGGGTGGAGTCGGTGATGTCCTGGGTACATGCATGCTCTACCTACCCTGGGAAAGAGCTGTGTATTCCAGAGCCTGCCACTTTGCACCACCTCCAATGCCACACCCTTGGACCTCCTTGGGGACCAGAACCAGCTCCCTCTTGAGATGCTGGAGCAAGCAGAAGTAACTTCAAGGAGCAGTCCCTTTGACAGTTCTCAGTACTGGAGCGGGGGGGGGGGGGGGGGGGTGAAGGAGACAGAAGAGGAGGATCCTGAAACTGGGGAGAGAGTGGAAAGGTAAGAGGTTGTAGCCACAGTCTCCAGGGAGCTGCAGAGCTGATCTGAACCTCTGGTTTATCGGGAGGAACCAAGGTTGACCCAGGTATCAGACACCTTAGCCCCACCACTCTCCAGCCAGAAACTCTGGTATCTCGCGCCATCTCTTCAAAGCTTATTTTGCTATTTGAGAAATGGAAAGAGTTATCTGTCCCCAGGGACTGGAATGAAGTCATGCACGTGGGCTTTGTCAGGATCACTGAACATTCATTGAAGATGATTGACATCTCCCACCCTGAAGCCTCGGGTATCGTTGCCTGTCCCAGAAGTGAGAGCCAGCAGGGACACATCCTGCTTCCCACCCCCTTTCCCAGCATTGCCTCCTCCACGGAAGCCCTGTGCACCCCGTGGCCGTGTTTCGGGTCTGGTTGCCACTGTCAGGCCCACAAGAGGCTGATCCATGCTCTGTCAGGTTAGACTTGCCATCGGTGTCTCTTGGCTTGACTCTTCTGGTCTGTCCCAGCAGGCTGGCGCCTCTCACGCACATTAAAGGTCAGCTCTTGGATGAGCATTATGACTGAGCAGCTGGAAAGCCTCAGATGCTGATTTCCCCTTCCCTCCCTACTAGATCATTCTTTTATCCACCAGCTCCCAGGTGAGAAGCCAGGCCCTATACCAGGCTGTCCCCTGTCGCCTCAAACAATGGCATCTTTTAACATTGCATCTGGACTTGTCTCCCCTAGCAGACAGATCACCAAATCCATTCCCTTCGGTCTGGCAAATGCTCACTCTTGGAGGTCTTGGGGAAAGATGGGCTGTAAGGGGGGGTCCCAAACTGCATTTCCTCAACCATGGTCACCTGCCCTCTTATACCCAATGACGAAGGCTAAGGTGGGGAGTGAGAAGAAATTCTGTGACTCAGTGAGCACGTGGAGAGGGCCAAGAAGAAAGAAGAAGCCACCCGCTTCTGTCCGCCGGTGGCCTTCAGCCAAGGCATCACACTCTCTCTCCAGCCTTCTAGCTGGCGCATACCTGTAGAACCCTGCCATGGGACTAGCCAGGACGGGGTTGGGAAAAGCCCAACAGAGTGGAATGGACAGGTTCCTGCCTCACAGAATCTGTGTCTATTGGAGAATATGAATCACAAGCAGTGAAAATAACGAATAAAATTATTTCGATCTTTATAACTCCTGTCCAGAGTGTAAATACCTTGTTATGGTACAGTCTGGCCCATGACCCTCTTTGGGATGGGCTATTTAAAATTCCCTTTAGACAAGCCAAACGTCCATCAGATGCTAACAGGATAAAGAACTGGAGACACAGCAGGCTTTTCTGCATGTGCAAAGGCCCTAGGGTAGAAAACACTTAACTTGTCCTAGCAACAAGTGCAGCCAAAAGAGGAGAGCAAGAGCAACCTACCCACCATGGTGAATCACTGAGGAAAGGGGGCTGCTCTCTCTCTCCTGACTGGAGATTTGAAACAGAGGGCTGATACCGTTCATGCTGAATTGCCACCAGTGGGGACAAAATGAAAATAAACACTAAAAGACAACTGAGGAGTATTAAAGTAATGGGACAAAGGCTTCCCGACACACAGGACCAGCAGGAACCACAATTGCCGAACAACGTCTGGCTTCTCGAATCGACTTTAGACTCAGATGACCGTCTACCTCAACTGCTTTGTAATTGCCTTACCTTGGAATGGTGTCCAATTCGGGTTCCCAGGTGCACGGTTCCCACCAGATTTTCCAATTATGCACAGCAGAGACGACAGCTATTCATTCTGCCTTTTTTAATTAAATGGATAGTAAATGCTTAAAACTTTGAAGACACTGCAGGCATCGTGAGTCAAATTAGGCAACGGACTCCTGTTGGATCACTTCTGTGGCCCAGGCTCTGCGGGAAAAGCATTATAACTGGGGATGTGACCCGTGTGGTAGAACACATGAGGGTACATCTCCAGATCCTCAGAACAGGAAAGTTCTTACAAGGAAAACCTCTGTTCTCAGGGAGCTTGCACTGTGATTTGGGGGTGGAGGGTGAGACAAAATGTGAAGAAAGGTTAAGTCCCATTTCCAGGATTGAAGTATCACAAGCTGTATGTGAGATGCTGCTCATGGGTCCAAAGAAAATGCTAGGCAGGTACAGCGGTGCACACATGTAATTCTAGCGTTCAGGAGGCTGAGTGAGCGAGACAGAAAGTTCAAGGCCACCTGAATGGGGAGACCCTGTGGGGGGGGGGGGAGACTGAAGGGATCCCTAGACAGAAAAACTGCAGGCATGGCTGGCTATGTCCCACACTTTAAGACAGACACACACAAGGATTGTCAAGGACAGCCTTGCTCGTGAATGACCCAGACAAAAGTACCAATTGTGTAAAGGAAAGGGTATGTGTGGGGATCCGGGACATGTCCGCACCCAGCCTATAATGGCTGGAAATACTGACTTGTCTGTGCATTAACATCAGTAGGGGTAGATCTGTGTTTTGTTACCTTTAAAGCATCTATGTCTGTAGTTTAAAAAAAAAAACAGCTAATAATGAAAATTAAGTATGAACTGAAACAGTTTTTGAATAGGAAGTTCTAAATTATTATTAGCTCCTTGGATATTTAGGATTTTTTCTACTTACATACCTTTAGGCAGCTTGCCAAAAATGCTTACATAGACATTCCCTTAACACACTGTAAGCCAGGGCTAGGCATCCCCCTTAACACACTGTAACCCTGGGATAGGCATCCCCCTTAACATATTGTAACCCTGGG